TCTAAAGCAAAGTAACATAAATCCCAACGGCAAACATATGAACAAGTATCCAAGTGTCCGAGTTGTACGAATAAAATCATTGTCCAAGCTTGCTACCAAGTAATAAGTGAATCATACCCGTTCGATTTGTCGGAGTAAACGAATGACAATCCAAGTGCGAATAACGATAATTTGATGAGTAGTGAATAACGATCCGAGGGATTGGTGTAAAGAGATAGCATTGATCATACATTTAAATAACAGTTGACTGAAATTGCGTGCGTCTTCGAGTCGAGCGAGTGAAACAACTCAAGCGTCCAAACTACGGAATTAAAGCCAATTTAAAGTAACAATCTGATTGATTTTTCGTCGTGTAAATAACCCCGATATAGACTCATTCATGACTGTTTTCGGCAAACAGTTTGTGATTGAGCCCGAGTACTTGTATTTAGCCGAGATTCAACACGAATTGCATGTACGGGGTATAAGTTTATGACCATATTGCTCCATCTGGAGGAATGTTTAACGAATTCGTTGAAAAGGTGCGTGCATTCACACGAGCACAACGAGTTCAGACTCCAATTGTTCAAGTACCAAGTAGCCAAGTTGATCAAGTATTGCTTGCACAAGCAGCGGATGGTCCCGGCGACGGTGAAAGTCTCGCTAGAAACCAAACTCAGTCAACGGTTCCGGAAACCGCTCACACATCGGCCGCGTCGGTAATTGAAATACCGGGAGAGAGTGTAAATAGTACGAATTCAGATCGTGATAATGCGAGTGATACAGCCAACCGAGTTGATAGAAATGGGCCTGCTATCGATACGCGCACATATTCGATTCCAAGAAATGGTCTGAGTGATAATGATGTATCTGGGGCAATAGATTTGAGTGCAGGTCGTGGGCCAAATGCGAATATCGATTCAAATAACGAGCAGATTCCTATGGACATGGGTCGAAATCACGCGAATAATGAACCGACAAGTAATGGGATTGTTCATGAGATTCCTGCCGCCCAACTGTCGGATCCTTTCAGACCGTCACAGATTTATCATGACAGCGCGAACACAAATCGAAATATGAGAGACCAAGGGGTGAGTGATATGGACGGTGTACGCATGTTGAACATGATTCTAGACCGGTTGCATAGATTCTCATTGGGATCACATGCGACAAATAACACAAACGATCACGCTCGAATGAGCCAGCAATTTATTAATGAGGTTATCACACCGATTCGTAACAGTCTTGCACTTCCAAGTCGACTTTCCCATAGTCTCTTGTCACGTGACGCGCGCAATGACATAAATTCGAGTGATGCGATACCGAATAATGTGTTCAATGATAGTCAGTCGTACGGCCGTGTTCCACCACCATCTTTCGGCATGGACCGTGTCAACTCACTGCCTAATAATTTCGGCTACCAAGCCAGTCACGAGGTCGTACGCGACCAAATTGCCCAAAACGTCATTCCGAATCCCAATTCATTGCCGTCCGCACAATCCAACGTGAGTGACAACTCTTTGGTCAACAAGGTAGATTCGCTACTTCGGGCCATGACATCCTTAACGGAAAATATGAACGAAATGAATGCGTGGCGGCATTCCTGCACAAGTAACCATGGCTTTTCCCAAGCCACGCCACGCCAAACCAATGGAATTCCGATGCATGCGTCGATGGGCCCATACGGTCCGAGCTACGAACAACGACCCTATCTGAGTCGGTCCAATTCACACAACGCAGTTCCAATTCACAAATGGAATTGGAAATTCAGCGCCGACAAGAATGCCAAATGCCCCGAACAAAGCGATCTCGCCGCGTTTCTGAAGAAGTTAGAGTTGTACCGTGAAGCCGAGAATTTAACGCACGAACAGATCCATTCGAAATTCTACTATCTGATCGATGGATGCGTGTACGAGTGGTACATGCAATATCGGTCCAACTTCGCCAATTGGAAACAATTGCGTGAAGGTTTAACGAAGCAGTTCACCACTCCACTCACTCATTTCATGAAGGTAGCAAAACTCGCGGCTCGCCGCCAACGTAAAGATGAATCGGCCATGGACTATATCGCCTCGGTTCAACGAGAATTTGACGCAATGAACATTTACGGGGAAAAGGAGAAAATTTCAGTCATTCAAAATGGTCTCAACGAGCGTTAGCGTATGGTAGCAATGTCCCACCAATGGCAGACCGTGCAAGAGTTAGATTTGCACCTTCGTAGTGTCGAGTTGGTCGATGAGTTGCACAACGAGACCGAAGTAAAAACGTTTAAGCGAACATTTTATCCGAAGCGCTCGATTAATACGATTGAGGCCGAAGAGAACAATGCGTTGAGCGACCCCGGCGATGAACAAGCCAGTTGTGAGGGTGAGAGTGACAATGAAGTGGTAGCCGAGTGCAATTCGATTAAAACGAAGTCCAACTTCAAGCGACACAATAATCCGAGTAATAAAAACAGTGTGAACGAAACAACAAAAGTGGCGCCTGGCGATACAAAGGAAGCAAGCACACGGCGCGTGGCCTTTTGTTACAATTGTAAGTCGGATCAACATCTGTTATACGATTGTGATCAGCCAATCGAACGAGTGTTTTGTTTGCGATGTGGTGCCGAGGGTATGGTCACCGGAAAATGTTCCCATGACGCCTTCAAAAGCCCAAAAAACGCCTAACGCGTCGTCTATTGCGAAAACGTGATAGACGGCGTGCATTTCTCCTAGGTCGGTCTTTGCCGATGGCAAAACTCCCGCGCAAATTCCGTTTGGTTGCATCAATGTTCTTCAATTTAAAAAATAATAAAAGACCCTATCTGTATGTAAATATTGGCGAGGAAAAAGAGAGAGGATTGATGGATAGTGGTGCACAAAGTACGGTTATGAGTGAAGAATTGTATGAAGATTTGAAAGAGGCTTAGAGTTACACGAGTGTGATATTTACATTAAGACCGCCGATGGCACAAAGCATAAAGTGTTGGGATATATAAATGTTCCATACGAGATAAGGCAGATGAGACGAGTAATTCCCACATTAGTAGTGAAAGAGTCGGCCGCCCGATTAGTATTAGGCATAGATTTTTGGAACGCGTATAGAATCAAACCATGTTTCGTAGGCAATATCTATGGCATCAGTGTGATCGACGGAGACACCCAAGTCTTTTCCGATCCGAACAACAATTATGAACCAGTCGATTTGCGAGCCGAAATCATGCCACCAAAATGCATAAACGTCGAAATACCACACGAATTGACAGAGGAACAGCGATCAAAATTAAGTAAAGTAACGCAACAATTTCCGTTTTGCAACAAAGAGGGCATTTTGAACCAAACTCCATTAAAATAAGCTAAGATAGAAACAGGCGATGCAATTCCGAATCGATGTAAGTTACGAATAGTGCCACCGTGGAAACAAAAGAAGATAGTCGAAGAGATAGAGAGATTAGAAAAACGAGGTATTATCCGTCGCGTCGAATCGTCCGAATGGCTACAACCCGTGATGGCCGTCCCGAAACCGAACGGTAAATGGCGTATTTGCTTAGACGCGCGATCATTAAATGCAATAACAAAACGAAATCGCTACCCGCAGCAAAATGCAAATAGAATATTAAGTTTGATAGGAAAGGCTAAGTATATAACCACCATCGACATGACCGATGCATATTTCCAAATAGGTTTACACCCCGATTCACAAGAGAAAACCGCGTTCGCCGTGCGAACCAAAGGTACCTATGTGTACAATCGAATGCCCATGGGATTGACGAATAGTGGCGCTGAACTATGCGCACTAATCGACTCTCTTTTCGGAGCCGAGTTCGAACCTCACGTATTTCCATACATAGATGACATAGTAATAGTAACCGAAACATTCGAAGAGCATTCAGAGTATTTAGAAAAGGTAGCCGATAAATTCAAGAATGCGAATCTAACGATAAGTCCCGATAAATCCAAGTTTTGTTACCGTAGACTGCGATATTTAGGGCATATAATCGACGAAGAAGGGGTAGGAATGGACAAGTCACGCGTCGAAGCAATCCAAGAGTTTCCGACTCTTACATGCACCAAGGATATCCAACGATTAATAGGCTTAGCCGGATGATATCGGCGATTCATCCAAGACTTCGCCGACATCACCGCGCCAATTACTGAATTGCTGAAAAATAAAGTCAAATCTGAATGGAACGACGAGAGACAAATAGCGTTCAAGAAGTTAATTCAGGCACTCATTAGCGCACCCGTGTTAGCTCCGCCAAACTACGATTTACCATTCGAAATTCAAGCCGATGCAAGCAAGTGTGCGTGTGGAGCCGTCCCAGTGCAACACACCGCCGAGGGAGAAAAGGTGATCGCGTATATGAGTCAAAAGTTCACAAATACCCAAATGAAATACCATGTAACCGAGCTCGAATGTTTAGCAGTCATTCTAGAAAAATTCAGACCGTATATTGAAGGTAGCCAATTCAGAGTAATAACCGATCACCATTCACTTCTCTGGCTTAAAAACTTAAAAAATCCGAACGGCCGATTGGTCCGATGGTCCTTGAGATTGCAGGCGTACGATTTCACGCGCGTGCATCGAAAGGGAAAACACTATGTGGTCCCCGATGCATTATCCCGATGCAATGTCATTGACGTGTCCGATTTCCAAAAAACGACTGACAATTGGTATAATGATCTCCACAAACGCGTCAATGAAGATCCACAAAATAACGATCACTTGAAGCTAACGAACAATTTAATCTATATACGCACTAATTTCAAGGAAGACTGTCATAATCCCAATTACCTATGGCGATTATGTGTGCCTAAGGAACACCGTGACCAAGTTATGCATGATAATCATAACGAAGACACAGCGTGCCATTTCGGCAAGTTTAAAACCATAGAAAAAATTCGCTCGGCCTATTATTGGCCTAAAATGAACCAAATTATTGCCGAATACGTGAGACAGTGTGAAACGTGTAAAACGACTAAGCCCCATAACCAAATAGTGACCCCACCCGCCGGAAAGTTCGTCGAGGCTCAACGCCCATGGCGAATTGTCGCCACCGATATCGTGGGGCCGCTGACACCAAGTCAAACCGATTCCTACTTGTCGCGGTCGATACGTTCACCAAGTTTGTGGTGATTAAAGCTGTTCGAAGCGCGACGGCAAAAGTGGTTACCGAGTTCATCAAAAATGACGTAGTATTGAAATTTGCATGTCGCGAGATAATTGTTTCCGACAATGGCGTACAGTACAAGTCGAACGAATTCAAGAGTTTCGCCGAGGCCAAAGGTATCACCTTGTGGTATACGGCCAATTATTTCGCTCAGGGTAATCCGAGTGAATGCGTAAACGCCACTATCGGGAACGCATTGCGCACATTCTTGGTGAATGATACTGACCACCGAAAGTGGGATAAGAAAATTCCTGAAATTGCCAATGCGATCAACAATTCGGTGCACACGGGTACGGGCTGTATGCCGTACGAGGCCAATTTCGGGCAAAAAATGGCTCAACACGCTAGTGAGTATCGTAGGTCGATCGATGCCAATGAATAGAGAAATAAATATTCATATTGATTTATGTTTGAAATTTGAAAAAGCAAAGTCACTTTAAGGTGTTTTATTTAAAATTTAATCGTAGATTGAAAAAGTCTTTCCATTTCAATTCCCTTAACAAAGTGTACGGAAAAGTAAAATATTCAACATTACCATTGTTGGCAGCATATTGAATCTATTCCAATTGTTCTGCAATATTATTGTGACCTGAAAAATAATACAGATCAATGAAAAAGATCAAAGCGGTATTTAATATAGTCAGCAGTACCATGGCTAACAGCTAACTGACGAGGTGTTAGATTCGCAAGATTTCTAACATCAACTTTGGCTCCTTTGTTGATGAGAAGTTCAGCAACATTTTTGTGACCTTAGAAATAATTTAGATCGACGAAAAAGATCAAACCGATTCTTTATTTTGTGAAAATAACTATTCAACATTACCACTCCTAGCTGCCAAATGAAGGGGTGTATTATTAAAAGCATCTCCAATATCAGCGTTAGCTCCATTCTTGAGAAGCACATCAGTGACACCTCTGTGACCTAAAATAATACGGATCAATGAAAGAGATCAAATCAATCGTTTCTTTAATAAGAACAAGCATTCAACATTACCTTTTAATGCAGCTAAATGAAGAGCTGTGGCATTCAAATCATCTACAATATTGGCGTTAGCTCCATTCTTGAGAAGCACATCAGCGATACCTCCGTGACCTAAAATAATACGGATCAATAAAAGCGATCGACGGGATATCTGATTTAGTCAACCTTACCATTCCTAGCTGCCAAATGAAGAGGTGTATTCCTCAAATTATCTCCAATATCAGCGTTAGCTCCATTCTTGAGAAGCACATCAGCGACACCTCCGTGACCTAAAATAATACGGATCAATAAAAGCGATCGACGGAATATCTGATTTAGTCAACCTTACCATGCAAAGATGCCAAATGAAGAGGTGTATGATTAAAATTATCCATGACATCCATATTGGCGCCTTTGTTAATGAGAAGTTCAGCAACATTTTCGTGACCTTAGAAATAATTTAGATCGATGAAAAAGATCAAACCGATTCTTTATTTTGTGAAAATAACTATTCAACATTACCATGTATAGCAGCATAATGAAGAGGTGTATTCTTCAAATCATCTCCAATATCAGCGTTAGCTCCATTCTTGAGAAGCACATCAGCGACACCTCCGTGACCTAAAATAATACGGATCAATAAAAGAGATCAAATCAATCGTTTCTTTAACCTAAGAACCGTGAATCGGGCACTGAGTGCCCAAGACCAACTTTAAACACTTATATCTTTATCATTTTTCATCATAAATGATTTACACAAAGATGGTTCGATTTGTTGAACATTTGACTACATGAATTGCGCTAACATACTCACATACGCATACTACGTCATCACATATGTGCATAAGCATGTGTGATGCGCTATACGTGAATCGGGTGCTTGAGTGCCCAAAGTTCATTTTTGTATGAAAACCAGAGTGTGATAAGAGATAAAAGATTTGTGTCTTGAGCAAAGTTATAGAGCATGTCAAGTACTACAATATTTCTACAAACACTATTCCGTTATCTCTTATCAGTTCCGCGAAATATGCAAAAAACGCGGAAGACGCGTATCTTTTGTATCTAATTTTTTAATGGACTGATAAGAGATAAGAGTTATCTGTCTTCAGCAAAGTTGTAGAACAGGTTGAGTTCTACAACATTCCCGAAGATTTTAACTTGTTATCTCTTATCAGTTACGCGAAAAATTATAACATAAAAATCGCGTTTTTCGCGGTTACCTACATAATTGATAAAAGATAAGGAGATAAAATCTTCAAAAATATTGTAGTACTTGTCCCGCTCTACAATTTTGTCCCAGACAGATATCTCTTATCACTTATCAGTTGCGCAAAATACGCGAAAAACCGCAGATGACTGCGAAAAATATGGGTTTTTTACTTTTCATTTTTCGCGTAACTGATAAGAGATAACAAGTTGGTGTCTTCAAGAATGTTGTAGAACTCAACCTGTTCTACAACTTTGCTCAAGACAAATATCGCTTATCTCTTATCAGTTCTGTAAAAAATGATATGGAAAATCTTGCGTTTTTGGCGGTTTTTCGCGGAACTGATAATAGATAACGGAATAGTGTTTGCAAGAATAATTTAGCACTTGACATGCTCTATAACTTTGCTCAAGACACAAATCGTTTATCTCTTATCACACTCTAGTTTTCATACAAAAATGCACTTGGGGCACTCAGGCACCGGTTTCACGAACAACGTTTTAAAATTGGTTTCACGGTTTGAAGGTTAATAAGAACAAGCATTCAACATTACCTTTTAATGCAGCTAAAGAGCTAATTTAAATGAAGAGCTGTGGCATTCAAATCATCTACAATATTGACGTTAGCTCCATTCTTGAGAAGCACATCAGCGATACCTCCGTGACCTAAAATAATACGGATCAATAAAAGAGATCAAATCAATCGTTTCTTTAATAAGAACAAGCATTCAACATTACCTTTTATTGCAGCTAAATGAAGAGCTGTGGCATTCAAATTATTTCCAACATTAGGGTCGGCTCCTTCAGTGATGAGGTCTTCAGCTTCATTCACTTTGCCTGAAAGAATATGAAAAATATTCATAAATCAATGAAACGGATTGAAAAAAACATTCTTTTTTATATAAAAAAAATTGTCCAAAATTACCAGCAAAAGCAGCTCTATGCAGAGCTGTCTCTCCATATTTGTCTTTTTCGTTTACTAAAATATGTATGAAAAGTTTAGCATAAATGAGGTTTACATTTCTCCGTTACAAAATGCTTTCTATATGGAATTTAACACTTTGACGGGTCTTCACACTTTTTACCTATTTTTGTTCTTTGGGGACTCCAGGGCCCCATATTTACTTCATATGAAATCTGGACTGTGATAAGAGATAACAAAATAGTGTCTGAGGCAAAGTTGTAATACTCGAGGTTTGCTATAATTTCGCTGCAACAAATATTGCTTATCTCTTATCAGTTCCGCGAAAAAACGCGAAAAACCACGAAAATCGCGAAATTTTCCCACCTCATTTTTAGTGAAGCTGATGAGAAGTAAGAGACTTGCTTCTTCGGCAGAAATATAAAGCAGGTTGAATATTACAACTTTGCCACAGACACCAAGTCGTTATCTCTTATCAGTTACGCGAAAAAATGATAAGAAAAAATTCGCGGTTTTCACGGTTTCCGCGTAGCTGATAAGAGATAACGACTTGATGTCTATGGCGAAGTTGTAGTACTGAAGCTGCTCTACAACTTTGCCGAAAATCATCTTATTATCGCTTATCAGTTTCGTGGAATACGCGAGAAACCGCTGAAAACCGCGAAAAAAACGCGTTTTTGCTTATCATTTTTCACGGAACTGATAAGAGATAACGAGATGGTGTCTATGGCAAAGTTGTACCTCCGATCAAGTACTTCAACTATGCCACAGACATCAAGTCGTTATTCCTTATCAGTTACGTGAAAAGCCGCGAAAACCGTGAAAAACGCGAATTTTTTGGCGTAACTGATAAGAGATAACGCCCTGGTATCTGAGTAAAGTTGTATTACTCAAGCTGCTCTACAACTTTGCCGTAGACACCATCTCGCTATCTCTTATCATTTTTGCGGAATACGCGAGAAACCGCTTCCTTATCATTTTTTCGCGTAACTGATAAGAGATAACGACTTGATGTCTGTGGCAAAGTTGTAGTACATAAACTAGTCTACAACACTGCCACAGACACCAAGTCGATATCTTTTATCAGAGTCCAGTTATAATATAAAATAGCCATGGGGCCCTGTGGTCCCCAAAGAACAACAGCGTAACATGTTTTTTGGAAGGCTGTATTTTACACATACTCACACATATGCATATGTGTATATGTCATTCGTGTAGAGAAATGTTCAATCTATACAATGAGACTTAACTCCGGTTGGTTTATATACTGTTTAGTACTTTTATTCAACTTTAAATTTCGCTTGGGGCCCTGGATTCCCCAAAAACCGTCATAGTGTTAAGAGTTAAACTGGATAAATGAATAAAACTTCAATCTTACCGTTCCTCCCTGGTGGTGCTCCGCTCACATCCCCGATTAAGAACTGTGGAAATAGAATCAAAGTGATACATTTGGAATGGGAACAACGGATGAGATTAATACATTATGTATTAATAACAGTTTTCAACTGTTTTTAATAGAATAAAAGTTTCCGGTGGACATTTTTTTGGAATAGAAGAATTTTTTCAATTTAAGAACTTGAAAAAGGACACTTTTCATCTTTTAAATTATTTCAGAAAAAATTATCACAAATTGTCCACGAAAAGTATCAAACATGAAAAATATAAAAAAAGTCGACTGAAATTGTCGACTCACCTCGGATACCATCAAGCCAATGAGCAGCAGTGTGAAAGAAGTTCGACTCAGCATTTTTCTAGCTTCGAACTATTAAAAGTTTACTATGAACGTATCAATTGGTAAGAACTGTTTGTTGGATATGCGAATCGAACGCATCCTATTATATACTTTTCAAGTGTGGCCACGTCGGTGGGCAACACACTGTATCATTCAATCCACGTACAATGACGATTCTAATTAAAGCCCACAAAATATTATCGCACACATTTTTCAAGATAACAATGTCAAACAATTGCTGTAATTACAATTCCACCTGTGCACGTGTGTTTAATTTCGCGTTTCACATCGAATGTTTTGCATTGAAAATATCAGATGTTTACATTTATTCTTTCATCACCTTCTTGAAACTACAAATTCAATGTAAAAATTTAAAAAGTAAATATTTTTCACTCTTGGAGGGTTGAGTGGTATTACTATGGCACGTGGCTGTTCAAATTTAAAAATTTTCACATCTTCGCTGCATGCACAAAACACATTCCGTTTCAAAGTCGACCCAAAGTTGACCACAGATCAACCGTCGCTTACATGATGTAAATTAGAATGAGAATAATCAAACGACATGACTCATACCTTCGCGTTACATTCAGGCTCACATACCATGGTTGCGTTGCTTTGTTCAATAGCTACAGTGTTAGTTGATGCAAGGATACACGGCATCACATTTACTTTACATAAATAATAAGGTATAGGTAGGATACGATGATATTGATACAAATCTACGCATTCCCTTAAAAAATTACAAGCGAATCTCTGTTGTGATTCATGTACGACTGAATACTTTATTGAGCTTTCTTACTCTATTTATACAATGTTTCTCATCAATTAAATTCAATTAGTGCGTTTCTTTCTCAACAGCTAATCGTTATGGTGTTAATTTGATTAGTCTCATTTGATTTGATTCGTTCTAGTTCCCAATTATGAATTACAATATTTCAACATCATTATTTCAACACTCTCCCTTCATTCATAAAAGAAAAATTTTGTGCATATAAACTTTAATTTATTGTGTTTTTCATTCATTAGTTAATTCTTTAAAGTGGCATTACTAATTCCAAAAGAAGGTAAATATAATAAAATAATAATATACACCGCCAAAGACTGGCTGTTTTTCTTGGGGCGAGACAGTTGGAATTGTACTGAAGGAAATGAAAGGAATAATAGGAATTAAAACGTCAACAATTCCAATTCTTTTGACAAAAACTACCAAAAATAATTTGAATTGCTAGTTGAATTGTCTAAAGTCTTCATATCGACGTCTGTATTCAACTATCATCACAATAACAATTTGCTTCTCATTATTTTGCACAGTATTTTCCTTTTTTTCAATGAATTTTTCTAGTTTATCAGTAAATGATACAAATATTATTTATTATTTGTTTAACACATAAAATCGTAGTGTTTTATGTAGGAAATAAGGTTCGCTCTGTAATAACATATGTCGGTAGAGCAGAAAACGTTTCTGTTGTTAGCTCACTTTGCTTGTCACTTTGACAACTTGTATGTCAGCCGCAGAAATCAGCTGAATGTGCACATCAAGGTGCACATTCAAATATTTCACCCAAGATTTCACCATGGGTGGTCTAGCGGTTTGAGACGACCACAAATCAAAACATCCTGTGCAATACGTTAAACTGTGTGTCTTTTACTTGGTCTCTTATTCGAGTTTGAATATTTTTAAAGTCACTTCTGTCGGGAATATAATGGTAAGATAGAGTGAATAATAAAACTATAAAAAAAAAACCAAGAAGAAAACTGTACATAAGATTCGTAGCTAAATTTGTGTTTTCAGTATCAAATATTTTCATCAAGAGTTTGATAGATAGTTTGATTTATAAATTCAATATATGAGCAAGTATGTGAGTCAGTGTTTTATTTTGCTGTATCCATTTTTCTGTTTCTTTGAATTCAGCCAAAACGTAGATATTTCGATGATTTCTGGGAAGAATTTGAATCACAATGTGCAGATGCAGGTTTAGTGTCGAAAGTGCCTACTATGGTGAAAAAATTGCTGACTGCATGCGGATATAATCATGCTTGGGCATTTAAAGAGGTAGACAACGAGAAAGTGACGCAGCTGGAATCATTCATACAGGCACGCCATCGCAAAATCGCAGATTCATTCGACGAATATCGTGAAATCACACCGTTTGAATTTTTGCCTGGTCATCGAGACTTGATATTTGCAATAAAAACGCAGATTTTATCCTTTGAGAATACTAAGAAGCCCAAGTCAAAATCCAATGGTGTTCCAACACACGTTCCAGATGAAGATGAACTTAAACAGATTTTGATCAGCCAAGTGTCAAGCTATTCGTCGTCATTAGCCTTGCAACTGGACTGGGGCGATGCTATTGGAAACTTCCAAACTGCAACAGATTCCTCATCCGCTGAATGCTCGCTATCGTGTTCATTGTGCAGTGCTGTTAGAGTCATTCGGTATGATGGTAAATATTGGGCGACCAGTAACATATATAAACATCTTCGGACTCATGTCAAGACCAATGGCGAAGCCAATGGCAAGACTCATGGAAAACCAAATCACAAGCCAAATCAACTGGTTACTACTCAACGGAGTAAACTCAAACTAAACAACCGAGATAATAACAAAAAAATCAAATCAGCAAGCAAATTGGGAAATAAACAACAAGATGGAGAGGCTAGTGGAAAGGTGTTAAACAATGATGTGCCAAAAAACCGTGAGTTAATAAGTGTGCAAGGAAGTCTGGAGGAAATTGTCGTTGAGCGAGTCTTTGAGATTCAAGAGAGAAATATCCAAAGCAATGTCGTTGATGAAGAATGGATGAGCATTATAGATTACGATGATCAAGACGATGATAATGCGATTGGTGCGAAGGAGCGTTTGGGTGTTCAAACCAATGTACAAACATTGGAACAAGCATTGGAAGGATTGGAAACCCATCAAAACAGCGATTCACAAGGCGATTTAGAGAGCGATTCAGAGAGTTTTTATTAACAAGTTTCGACCACAATTGATCGATTTTACTCTGTAAAAGTCTAAAAGAATCAAGAAAAGAATGCTATGAACTATGCTCAAGACTAGGTTATGAAAGTGATATTTATTCAAGTATTTATTTCAAGATTAATTTTATTTTCATGTAGAGTCTTTTCTACAAGCATGGTTTTTCGTTCATGTTTAGTGAAATAATATCTAGAATGATATATATTTGAAGCGCTTCCATATTTTGATTAAAATTTCGAAGATGAAATCGAGAATAATAAAAATTTTGGAGAAATATTATTCACAAAAACTAGTATAAGTAGTCATAAAAATACATTTATTCTATTCGATTTGTGTTTGAAAAATAAAATCAACAGTACATGTGATCATTAAGAACGTTATGCTGACTAGTTTCTATAGCGTTTTTGAGTCTTTTGTTTTCTTCAACTAGTCGATCGATTTCAGCCTTAGATTCACTCAAATTCGCCATGAGGTTTAGATTTCTTTTTTGCAGTTTATTGTAATCTAACTTTAATTGTGAATGCTGTTCTTGTTCTCGATGAAGCAAGTTTCGTAAACTCTCTTCAGTTGTTATGGTTTCTGGATATTTACCTCCACCCGAAGAATTTATAAAAGGAATTGTGATTGTTGTACGATAGTTTTCACGTAATGGACCTGAAATAAAAATCAAAATTTAATTTAGGTGAGGAAAATGGAATGATTCAAATGTGTGAATATCTAGGTGAGTATATATACGTGTCACTTGCGTAGGCGACGTCTTGGCTTGCTTTGATTCAACTGTACTTCTGGTTTTAGTATTAAGTTTCCTCTTTTTTAACTTATTTTGACTAGTACTTGGACCATGACTTGGACAAATGTCTTCACTTTCTAAATTCCCAATCGCAGTAGCATCTGGAGACGTAATCATAAAGTCATCTCGAATTGGTCTCTTTTTCCAAATTTTACATAGACGTATCATGATCAAGATCGCAAAACGCCATTTGGCACGTAACATCTTAAGTGTCTTGTAACGATTTATGATAATTTGGAAATCGCCCTTCAGTTTTTCAGTCAGTGTATTAATTTTTCCATTACGCAAAAATAGTTTTTTGTTTCCAAGCCGAAAATCAATCCATTTTAATCCGCATGATCGAAGTAACAGACCGTAAAATTCCTTTTGTTCAAGCTTTTGATTTGTGGAAATGCATTTCGAAAATTCCACATTTTGATTTTGTTTGAATTGATTAAATAAATCATCGATATTCATATGATACGGATAGCCCAGACGCATTAGCTGTTGATATGCAACACAGCCTGTTGAAATCAGTTGAGATAAAACCAAGTCTTCGTTGAATACATTAGAGCATTGTTCTTCATTTGGTTTAATGCATCGCAGAAATGAGCACTCCTAATAATTAAAAGGAGAGAATTAAAAAAATCAGATGGAAATGTAGAATTTTGTCTTTAATTAAGAAGATTTAATTTATAAGAAGATAAGTCTATAGTCCAAGCCATAGTCTATAGTTTTGTATGCTCACAGTTTCATTTAGTTTCGTAATAAGATCTGCTATTCCAATTTTTAACGTATATGTAGTTGATTTACTTCGTAAAATGTTTGCGTTACCATCTATATTACTTTTTTCCAAGCTATTTGCATTATTTTTTCTGCTGATTTTAATGTTTCGACAAATGTCATCGACTGCTTTTGGTACGATATTAGGATTCTTCTCAACAAAATTGACCTAAGGATTGAATTGAAAATAAATAATTTATGATGAGAGGATTTCACAGGTCAAATTTTAAAAACCACATGAAAGTGATGTAATTGAACATATCGACCATTCCACACAAGATTCCACACCAAATGGTCCAAATTTTCAGCCAATTTGGCGGAAGTCGGTGCAATTCTTGGTGTAGACTGGTCGATATGTTACAAAACAAAGTCTATATACAGCGTCATAGAGCACATCGCCAGCGAAATGCCGAATAATAAATCCTGTGTTCTGTTGAATCTCTGTCGGCTTCGGCATCATAATAATTGAATGGTTTGGCCAAAATGAAAAAATATTTTTAATAAGATTCGTGGTATTTTGGCATTGGATTTTGCACACGTCATCCAAAAGTTTGAAAATTCCTCTCGATTTGTCCTCAAATACGTCTGGAAAGAAAAACAGATTATCATCACTACAATTGTTATTTTATTCAAAATTGCACAGAGACAAATAGGTAAAATAGCTTAACGTTTTTCACTACGTTCCACACTAGGTTCCACATTAAGCAATAATTTTATATTTTATCGATCAAGTTATCGATACAGTTTAGTACTTACCCAATATCTGACTATTATCAAGAAAAGGAATCATTGGAATTTCAAGACCTTCTTTGGCGTACCAATTTTGTTCATCTTTTAACATGGTTTTGACAAACATTTGCTGTATTTTTTCGTTGATAAAATTGATGCACATTTGTTCAAAATAATTTTTTTCGAATGCCTCTGAAATAAATCCAATGTCATCGTTAAAATGAGTTCATGTAAATATTTACAAATAAATGTACCGAAACCTGCGATATCCACCATGTTTACTTTCATTTGTGTTTGTTGTTGTTTGGATAGGTTTCTAGATACGTTTACATTAATCGCAAACACAACTTCTTGGAATAGACGTTCATATAAACATTTTGATAAGAAGTTCTTTGCTTTGGTTGCTTGAGATACGCTTAAATCCATACTACAAATAATAAATAGTTCAAAGGCTGTAGATTTTTTTTGATCGAGAATTTTGCTTTATACTCACATGATATCCGAACCATTTACTATAATACTACGCGTTAGCAAAGCTGATTTTAAAATGTTTTCGTCAATTTTCAAAAGGCGTGCACTTTGTTCCAAATGAACTCTAGATAGTTCGGATATTTCACACTTTTCTGATAATTTTTCCTCAAACTCAATATTTCCCAAATGTAGGATTGCTGCCAATATTCTATACATCTGCATCCTTCCTTCACTCGTTATACCAGCAATAGATAATGATCTATCTGCCTCTTCAAATTCTCTTGAGTCGTTTGTGATATGAAAGTTTGACAAATACTAAAAAATTCCATTATATAAAATATTTCAAATATAATAATAAAGAGTGAATGAGATTTCGAATAGGTTTTTGGAGGCTTACCGCATAATTTTCAGTGATGTCTAGGTAAAGTTCTTTGTGCAAGTTTGCAGCGGATCTGATTAAATGCAATAAGTGGAAATTGCTTTCGTTTTTGTTTCTGGAATAAATTCTGCTATTTTCCAATAATAAATAGGAAAATTGAACTGACGCCAGACCAGCTAGCGAATCTGGATGAAAGTGCATCTGGAATTCCAATACAAATGTATAAATGATAAAATATCATCAAATTTATAGAAAAAACAATTCTATGAAAAATATGAAAAATTGCTCACCTCTGTCAGTTTTGTAAATCTTGAGCTGTTTCTATTTAAACCTGTTGATGCATTTCCAAAAAGCTCGAATATATGGTTAGCAGAAGATATACTTTCTTTGATCTGATTAGATAAAGACGATTCACCTATGAACGATAATATATGCGATGCACTTTCGGTTTTTCCAGACCCCGACACACCCGTTAAAATAATTGATTGTGGTCTTTCTTTGCGCTGAATAATTCTATTGACTACAAATAATAAGTTTTTAAGTCCAAAATCAAGTCCAAAATATCTATGAGACACATTGAAAAAATATTTTATACATAGAAAAATACTGAATTGGAAAAATTCCATACATTCTCTATTTTAAATATAGGTTTCTCTTTGTGCCAAATGAGTACATTTTTCTATGAATTTTAGTTAAATATAAAAACATGATATGTAACACTTTGTGTTTCTAAAATTACCCATTGCATACAAATGTGGTGGTAGCTGGTCACTGCAATCTGTATGATACGATCTCTGTGCCTCTTCAGAATACAATCCATTTATATTCCTGTATGGATTGATCGAAATAAGGACCTTTGCCACATATGTCTGTACATAAAAACATGAATGAAATTTTCATAGAATTTTTCAGAAATGTTTTAGCAATAAATTTCATTTATTCTAGCAAGAAATACTCACGTAAATATTTTCATTCTGGAATCTTTGTTTTAAGCATGAAATAATTGCTTTTTCATCTTCGAGTTCACAAATATCAGTCGTTTCCATTTCATAGAACCTAACTAGGAACGCAACAAAATATAATAAAACTCTTTTCTATCTGAATAATTTAACACTTGGTCGAGCACTTGGTTCAATGTGTGAAATTCAGTGGTACATTAAATTATTTTGAAAACTTAGCAAGCAACTTATTCGAACAAACATGCGACCAACAAGGCGACCAAGCATGCGACAAATTCAGCGCTGCTCTAGTCAATATGGTGTATGTACGAGTATGGTTGTATTGGTCAGTAAACTATTAGGTAAACTAATACACGCACATCACACAGTCTTACATACAATAGAAGCAAGAATAGAAGATTGTCATCGATTGCTAAGTCAACTGTCAATTCGACTGTCGTGCGTCCAACACTTTGGACTATTGAATTGGTTGCCAATGGTTGTCAAAGCGGTCACGAAATTCAATTAGACGTCTAGTAGCCATTGCAAAATAGAAAATAAGAAAAACTTAGAAAAACAGTTGACATAGAAATAAAATAATCGACACAAGAATCGACATATAAATAACTGGCCGAAAAATGGCTCGTACGCGTTCACAGGTGAGGGAAGCTGATTCAACAAGTGCTTCAAACGAAATTCAAGCCGTAACAAGGTATTTTATCAAGTATTTCAAATCTGTATATAAATATCTGATTTTTATTCGACTCGTTCCAATCGAAAAGGCCCGGTAAAATGTTTCATGAAGTTATTTTGTTCATTTTATAATATAGACGTCTATCTGATCATCGAACCAATCTACTTGCCAAACCACGAAGTCCATCAAAAATATCGAAGCTTAAACATAAGCTGAAGTCCAAACGAGACTCTGAGAAATTCAACAAAATGCTACTGAATGCCAAACAAAATTTATCGAAGGTATGATGAAAACAAACCAATATATGATTATCTAACTCAATTTCAATACTTGATAATTTTATCATTTTGAATTTCCTTTCAAGGCTGCTGATAGAGCTATCCCGAATCGGCCGGTGCCACCAAAAAGTTTGTTCGATCAAATTCACGACCCAATACTTAGCGGGGAAGCCAAACGGAACCTAAAACCGGTTGTTATCGTGATTGATGATGAATAATTCTTGGATTAGACGACAGATATTTGCACCATCCTTTCTGATCAGTTCTAAAATCAAATGACATCTCTTTCAAAAACATTTCCACATTTTCTACGCTTAAAAAATTATCTTACGTCCAAAAGTCATTTAAATATTTTGCACAGTATTATCGGTTCCATATGTACATTTCTGACAGTATGAAACGCTAATAATAAATACTTATTTCCAAGCTTATTGCTTTAAAAACCAAAACATTGAATAAACTTCGATTTATACACACTTGAAGTCACATGGATTTGTTTATATTTTTATTTATATAGTGTCAATAACACATGTAGCCAAGCATGTAGCGAATAATCAAATGTCAAAACATATGTGCTAGCTCATATGTGACAAACATTATAAAATATGCTTATCTCTTTCTAACACAAAGAAAATTGATAAAAATGACAACTGTATATCCAAGTGTATATCAAACACTTGGCATACTACTACTACTTTGATATAAAAGTAAATGGCGGGAATTTCTGAAATTCATAGAGCAGACAAGAGAGCAGACCTAGAAGCAAGGCTTGGAGCAGACGAAATCAAAATTGCATGGACGCTTATCAATGGATTTTACATTTATTGATTTATTTAAACGTTTTCAACAAGGTTTTCAAAGTTGAACTGACACTATTTGTATATTTTGAATATAATACTTTTGCATTGTCATTATAAAAAGAAGAAAAATAGAAAAAGAAAGGAACTTATGCCAAGTTAAAATGAATATCACTTATAACTCCTCGCTGAGCAAATAATCTTAGATGAATGTGTGAATGCTTTAGATGAATTTTTCGATGTTTCCAGATATTTCTGTCCATCATTACTAATCTCGGTAGCTCGGTAGGATCGATTGAGATTCAGTCTATTTAAAGTTATTTAAGTTTTCCATGCGATTCATAGGTAACGATTTGGTTGGACTCGTCCAGTTGGCATCTGGCTCGCAGGAGGCGGTGGTGGTGGTGGCGGCGGTGGTGGTGGTGGTGGCGGCGGTGGTGGTTGAATCTGTATTGGTGGTGCTGTTCCGTTGGCTGTTTCTGCTACGGCTCGCAGAGCATTTATAATGGTTTGGATGTTTTCAGCTTTGGTTGAATGCGGCGAGCACATGTGCTCCGAAGCAAAATTTTCGACGTCACTGTGAGTGCCTCGTGCATGCTCACCACAGCCAAAACAAGCCCAAAATTTTGAATACATAATACGTCAAAATATTCGTGGAAATATTGATTAGAATAATGATCAAAATGATGCGATTCAAAGATTAGTTTTATCCAACTATTTAGCTAGTTATTTGACCAAATATTATAAACTGATGCGCAAATTGATATGAAAAGCTAGATGAAACGCAAGATGAAACGATATTCTAGCAAGTGTTCTAGACGAAATTACAAGCAAGACTACAAGCGATTAACGTGCGCCAACTTTTGCAAAAATATCAAGAAAAATATTCGACACAATATTTAGCACAAGGTTTGACATTTTTCCACAAAATCCAATGTTTCAACACAAGTTTCAACCTCGAAAAATGGAAACTATGTCAAAAAAACTCAAATTTATGATTTTGTTCGCGGTTTCGCGATTAGCAATGGCATACCTTCCAATTTTGTATCAATGAAAAAAAACCAACACTTGGATCGAATGACCAAGCAATTGTCGCTTGTATGAGAGATCAGTTATTCGCAACTACTTCAAGAACTACTTTTATTATAACTAAAAATGAAAGAAAAAAACGTAGACGATCTTGTAGGCGATTCGATTTATTAATTTTGTTAGTTATAATACACATCAATATACACGTCTTAAATTGTGGTGTACCGTTTTATGCTATTTTTTAATTTGCACAAGAATTTGCACCTATACCAAGACCTATAGAAACTTTGTTCAAGTGTACACTTGACTTGCTGGTATTTGTTCATGTTTTCTTTCCAATTCGAATGGATTGGTCATGACCAAGACAATTTTTCCAACATATAATAATTACAAATGTAGCCATTATTTACACACAAGCCTATACATATTATATTTTTGTCGCCTCTTTTTTAAACACACTTCTAAGTAGAAATTGAAAAACTTACCAGCTTACAGATATGATAAAAGGATATGTTTTATGGTCTACCATTATTTCGATAAATTGGAGCCAGTTCTTCAAATCGGATTTCTTAGCAAATTACAATAATAATTTTGATTCCATCTGATTCCAAAAAAGGAAATTTATTATTTCTGTGGATTCATCGGACGGGGTGATTATTGATATTCAAAACTTCAAATATCAGTATCAACTTTGTATTTAATCTACACTTAATATAACTATGTATATATCGAGGTATATATATTTGTATTTTTTAATAATTTTTTTAATAATAATAATATTATTTGCAAAGGTGAAAATCTTTGGCGCTATTCTTCTTCATTTTGTCTGGAGTTCGGTTAAGAGAATGTGTTTTTTAATTAAAATGAACGCACATATCTCTCAAGATATCTCAAAATCCAGATTTTTTTAAAAGCAAAAAAAAAAACAAAAAAATGGAGATAGAAAAAAATTCTAATCTAAATCAATAGATTTTTTGTGTTCTTTTAATTCTTATTTTTTTATAAGCAGATGTAACAAAGATCATTAGATTTAGAGCGAAAACGGAAGTAGAAAAAACCAAAAATGAAGAAAAAAATTTAATAGAATCGAAACGTTTTTGAAACATAACTAGATTATTATTATATGTTTCAATATATATTTTTGTGGATTTAAAAAGCTTGATCGTAAATTACTAGATGTTTGTTGTATTTTTCTGTAGTTTTATTGCTGTTTGTTGCTGATAAATGAACAGTGCCTCAATATAATATTTTGTGTTTTTTGTTCGATATGAATTCGAATTCGCACCAAATTTGCCTATTCAAACTTGTGTTTTATTTTTAGATTAAGCCAAGGATTTAGCTTCCTCAATCTGATCATCCAGCTCAATCCGGTAGAAGATGTTGTTTTTTTCCCGGATCTGAGGTCGAACGTCTTGACGCTGTTGGGAAATGGAAAATTTATTTCATTAATTCTTTTGTTGATGTGAAAAATCATAAATGTTGGACAAATAAATTAAATAATAAGTTTCAAAAGTGATTTGAGGGTACGAAAGAGATCAGAAGAAATTTGTTTCAAACAGAAGACTTTGATTTAGATGACGTGTCGTTGTGAAATTCTAACAAAATCAACTCTTTTTGGCACTCACAAAGTTTGTGTTATGCAGATTAACTAAAGTGATCCGAAAAGTTTCATATAAGAACAAATCCATAAAAAATTGTGCACGTCGCATAGTTATGGGATTTTTTCTTGATTTTTTTTCGAGAAAATGGACAACTTTAAAATTTGTTAGTTAAAATAATGCATTACCTTATGAAACGCATTGTTGGTATCGTTGATTGCTCCAACTAATGTCGGATTGTGGTCGATCGTTTGCAACACAGTTGGTGAATTTTGCCAATCGATTTTTCCATTGCTTTCTTCTGAAACTTGTTGCAACAAATACCCTTTATCCGTCTTATCACCGATTTGTATGTTGTCTACCAGTTAGAGTAAATTTTCCACGAGTCTTTCACCGGTCACCATCGACAACTTCGCTAGCAAACTTTATTACCTACGCCTTTTATTTGGTTTTACCAGATGAATCCAAGGATGAATGACTAAATGGAGAGAAAGAATATTTGAAAATAAACTAGAACACTGACGAATAAAACCAAAAATATTTCAAGTAAACACTTCGAAAAGGGAAAAACTGTGTAAAAAATACTAAATGATTGTTCTTTTGGATCAATGTATCAATCATGAATGAATAAAGCGATCAACTTTGACCATAGCTGTTTGAAGTTCAAAGATTGGAAAATTGGTATTAACTTGTTCAAGAACTTGTGTGATGTTCAAGGTGTTGTTTGTTCGAACTTTCATACATTTGATTATTTCAATGTCAATCTCTCACTCATGTATCTATCTGAATTGTTTCTGTTTTTTGTTCTGAATTCTTTTCACTTTGCTAAAAGTCTAATCAGTCAAGGTGTGGGTCCACCTCAGACGCAGTTTCACTAAGAGGCAAGCTAAGAGGTCAAGTAAGAGGTTCACTTTGAAGTCGATCGACTATGCGACGAATTATTACACAATTGCAAGCACAATTGTTTCAGGCTCGTTTTGCGAGAAAAATTCACCAATTTTTAAGAAAAAGTTTCCAATTTCACCCAACAAATCACTTTTCACGAAAAGATTGATTTTTTCCACAATTTGTCCAATAATTTTGGAATACTTTGCAACTTCTACAATGTATTTCATAATATTTGTCACCAAATTATCCATTGTAGAAAAAATATGGGAAAAGCATATGTTCAATCGATCGGTGAACTCACACTAAAGATCTCATTCAATCCATTCATTTCAGTCGCAACTAGAGATGAGAATATTGGGCAGAAACAATGTTGCATGATCTTGCACATGATCTTCGCCAAGATCTTCGCCTGATTTTTGTTTATTATTTCAACTCGTACCAAGTCAAGTACAAGTATTTCTTGTACAATGGAGTGCATTGTTCAAAATCTCTCTCATGGTCTATGTATATCCCATAACTGAGATTGAGTGATCAAGGGCAAAAGACAATCCTTTCATCTTTTTGATCGAAAAATAGCGATCTTGATTTTGTAAAAAAACATATCAAATTGTGTTACTTACGTGAATTGTGTGCAAGTTGTGTGGTTTTTGCAAGGGTTTTTGTCAATCTCCGGGTACTTGTGGCCAAACTTGTGGCATAAGCAAGGGCATAAGAAAAAAACAAGAAAAAAGTGTACTTTTGACATTTCAACAGAGCCGAAACAACAGCTACAGCTGATGTGTACGTGTATGTAAGTCGTTGGTGCACACAAACGCACAAGCAAGCGGCTCACGGATACACATGCAAGCGGTAAACGACACATAAAAATGCAAACTACACTAAAAACTACGTTAGAACACAAATAAAAACACAATTTGTATCCCAGAACAGATTCAAAGTTCACGCTTCAACATTATGTGTCTGAATGTATTGGACAGTTCGAAATGGTTTGGGATTGTAAGTGAATGTGTGTGCATGCAAATAGTCAAGCAAATAGTTGAAGAAATATCATCACGTGTGGAGAAATGTCAAACATAGTGTCAAATATATTTGTACGCGCACATTAACCTAGACATTAACACAAGCATTAATATCGTTTCATATCAATTCCCGCATTTTTTTCGAAAAATAGTCCAGAGAATGGCAAAAAATCAAGCAAAAAACAACAAAACTACGAAAAAGTACAAAATGAAAACCAACAGATATTGGTTAAGTTTGTTCAAAATCAAGCCGTGCCGAATTCCACTTGATCGATACAAGGTTGAAAGTCTACTTGGAAATGCAAGTGAGAATGTCAAGGAAAATGTTCAAACCAGTGTTCAAGGTTAGTACAGAATATTGAAATAAAATTATTCACTGCATACATTATTCGAATTCATGAACACATGAAATTTATTTGAAATACAGAAGCGAAGGTAACAGGGAAGGTAATGTGGACCTGTTGCAAATGTTTCTTTTTCGTTCACAACAATTCGGACGTGGTAAATAAAGCATCAAAAACACACAGCTGTGATGAAGTTTCGCAATCACAAAAGGATTCCAATTTAATAGCATTCAGAAATGCTATCAATTCCATTACTGCAGCGCCACTACCACCACTACCTCCACCTCCACCGCCACAGAACAATCTCGAGAAACCAAAATTGTCATGGAATCAGCTGAAGGAATTAAAAGTCAAAAAGTTTACTACTGTTGACGGTGCTACTGAGGTTATCCCGAAGACAAAGCAAATATTGAAGTATGCACCAACACAGAGCAATGCAAACGTTTTCATCGCGAATTATGACCGAATGACTTCAGAATTAAGTGAATTTTTGAAGTATGTAAACACGGTTTCCATTAATAGTCATTAGAATCTGCCGAATTTTTAATGACATTTTTCTTTTAATTTCTCTTCAAAATAGAAAACGCGGTATTCGGATGTAAAAAGACAACAGTACAAGCAACAGTACCAAGAACAGTACCCAAGACAGTACCTTAAGACAGCTTCTAGTTTTATTTGCTCAGCGAGGAGTTAAAAGTGATATTAATTTTAACTTGGCATAAGTTCCATTCTTTTTCTATTTTTCTTCTTTTTATCATGACAATGCAAAAATATTATATTCAAAATATGCAAATAGTGTCAGTTCAACTTTGAAAACGTTTAAATAAATCAATAAATGTAAAATTCATTGATAAGCGTCTATTGGTCCGAGCTTTTTGCTTAACCTCTGTCGATTCACGACACGAAAAGATGTTCAATTTGGTTTTTGTGGTGTTCTTTCTTGATTTCTATGTCAACTGTTTTTCTCTGGGTTTTTCTGATTTTCTATTTTGCAATGGCTACTAGACGTCCAATTGAATTTCGTGATCGTTTTGACATCAAATTCTGTGTTGGACGTCTTCAGATTTTACTTCGGGTGAAAGTTTAGAAAGTGGAGGCATTTGTCCAAGTACTAGTCGCAAGACTACTCGAAATAAGTCAAAAAAGAGGAAACTAAACACTAAATCCAGATGTAGAGTTGAATCAAAGGAAGCCAAGACTCTCACAAGACATTTTAATGTCCAATTTTATATGCCTAATTGTATGCTGACAAGTATGCTGAATTCCAGATGGGAATTTTTTTCGTGAGCTAGTGTCCTCCAAGTATCATTACTTACGTTGGTTCATATGCTCAAGCATACGCTTCTATTCTAAAACAAAAATAAAAAACAGAAAAAACACTCTCGTTTAGCCAGCCTTAAATGGCTTATATAAAAATTATATTCACGCTTATTCTTAAATGAGGATAACACAATTTAAACTTAAATTATTTTCGATGATAATGCAATTCACAAGACAATTCACAGTTGTTTATGTAAAAAGGTATAATGTAGTGGCTTATTTCTCTAGTTGGAAATCTCATCATCCAATGATCTGGCGCGTTGTGTTTATCTAGTTCAATTTTGATTGGCGTTGACAATTTCCAAAGTAGCACTTTCCATTGCTTTAAAGTCAATTTGATCGAAAAATAATGTTCTTGTGTCCGGGTCGACCGAAGGAGATGGTACAGTTGCAATATATTTATGCAAACTAATGAATTCGACACTTGCTGGAATCAATGAACCTTTGTCATTAATCAAATACCACGATGACAAAATTTCCAAATTAGGTCTATTATAATCATCTAAATTCACTGAATCAAATTTATAAATTCTATCTTTGACCAATTTACGATTGGCGAATCTAAATGCATGCACTAATCCAATATGTACCATTTCATTTCCATCTCTTTTCATATTAAAGAAACACCAATCTCCCAATTTTATTTGTTTCGATATGTAAACTGTGCTTGGTGGTGATGAATCAGTTGAAACACCAGGCTTACTTTTTTCTTGAACACGAATCAAACGGTCGCTACTTATTTTTTTCGTGCCTTCAGACAGTGTCCAAACCAATGTACTTTTCCGCAAGAGTTGTTTCCGTCCCAAATGATCTGTTGTACTTATGAAGGCACGCTGATGATCTTCCTCTTCTTCTAAAAACGGGGTTTCATCATTTTCTGGAACATCATTTATATTCTCCGTAAAATCGTCTGCATCATCGATGTCGATCTCGCTTTCATTTTCGTCGTCACTATTATAGCTATCACTCGTTTCTTCATCGCCTCTCAAGCCACTTAGAATATTTATTTCACATTCATCAATCTCATCTGGATTTATTTGCATTTCAAAACGATCAGCATCATTGATGGCAAAACGCTTTGCACGCTTTAAACATTCCTCAATTTCTTCTTCATTTGGGAGATTATATATTTTTGTGGTTTGGTGCTTCTTCTCCAATTTCGGCAATTTAATATCTAGACCTGATAATTTTGAGTAAACTATTTCATTCTGAACTTCGATTCTTCTCACCATATGGAGCAATTCAAGGAGTGTAAAATTTATTTTAGTGAAGTTTGGTGTGCCCATTGAGCGCAGCTGTCTGAATGCGCGTTCACAAGCCTGGCTATCAAACATTGTAGTGAGAAATAGCTCAGGCTTGTTTTCATCTCGAAATATCCGAATTAATTTCAGCAAATTCGCCCCATTCAGCTCTGTGCATAAGTATGCATTGGATGTGATAAAATTTTCGCGCAAAATATATTTCGATTGAATAATCCACTTTCTCCAGATTCGTAGAAAAAAAATGGCATGGAATAACATTTCAATTCTCTCGTACGGAGTGATATCATAGTCCATCAAACTTGTAGACACTTTCAAACATAAGTCCAAGAAAAATGATGTTGCCTCACTGTCTGGAATATATTCTTGCAATGCTCTGCGTGTTCTTATGTTCATACACTTTTCGAACGATTTGAAATTTTGACGATCTATAGGCGACACATCAGATAGTACAAGGCCATGTACTTCCTTTGGGGCATTTCTAATTAAAAGTTTTAAATGTGCTACAGATGCTAGCTTATTTCCCATTGGAAGAGCAGCATATGAGCGTAGAAAACAGGTTCTAAGTTTCAAAATGCCATGAGTCGCATCTTGCATGAAGCATATTCCGCCATCCAAGCACATTTGGTTTCGCATTGCGGCTAATAACCTCGGGTCACCGTCCGAGGAAAATCCACGAACTTTGATGCCAAATCTGAATATATTTGGGAAAATGAATTACTATTCGTTCGAAAAAAGTTATGATTGCATTAAAAAATATTATTTTAGAATATATACCTATTCAGTTCGGCGACAGTGTAATTCCACCTTTTAACGACATTGCGCGCCGTAAAACGATTGTCCGTACCGAACATTTGCAATACGAACGGTGCAACTCCTTCTTTGAGAGGAATGGCTAAAATGAGGTAAATGTGGGATGACTTCGTCATGCGGCAAAAACTTTTTATCATCTCTTCATCCTGAGTTGTTACTTTGAATCGTTGTGGACAACCTGTGAGAATATAGATATTTTCAATATTTTTGTTTTGATAAAAAGAGATAAACCACCAAAGATGAAATTTGAATTACAATTTGCAGAAGGAATGAAAAAAAACCTTATAGCTGCCAAAACGTTGGCTGTAAAGAAAACTAATAGAAAAATAGCTCTTGAGAGTAAACTTTTACCTGTTCTGTCATCTATGAGCAATGTCATACCAATCAAATGGTCTGAAGATGGATCGTACAATATTTTTGGGACGAGTCCTGACCCATCCTCACATATCCAGACATCATTTCCAGCATTGTGTTCGTGCAAGTATTTTGCTAGATCGTTACAGCGAAGTTGTCCCTCAATAATACATTCCTTAGTATCTTTTATGCAACGTACTGAAGAAGAAATTTATACAAAGTTATTTACGTATTGAGTTTTTGATATTCATAAATATAAGAACAACACTCAAAACAACCACTTACAAATTGTTTTAGTCGATGGAATTGGTAAATTTTTGCTCAGTGTTTCATAACAGGTGCGGCCACAAAGTAAGAATATGTACGTGGAGAAGTATCTGACAATGTCATTGTATTGATAGGCGTGCTTTGATTTATTTGAATTGTTTTTGGCAGTTTTGAGAAGCTCTGTTAAAATAACTGAGTATTCTCCTGTGTGCTCATGTACTACGTTTGTCCCAGCGTTTGTCATCAATTTATCAAAACCTTTCAAACCATCATTCAAAGCATGTGATTGCATATATTCTATGTTGTCCCGAAGACCCAATAAAATGATTCGATGGCCTGGAAGGAACTCAAATACATCTTGGTCTTTGTATGCACTTAAACTGTCATCACAATATTTTAATTCATCTAAATCTGCGATTACTTTGCACAGAATTTTATTTTTATTTTTTTCAATGTATTTTTCGAGTTTATCAAGTGTCTCATTTGTAATTTGCTTAACACTGAGCATACAATCATAGCCACATTGCCAAAGTAATAGTTTTAAGAACATTGGCACGTTGTGCCGAACAAAATTTTCAAGATTGGACCACTCGTTCGTTATTTTTTCCATTTTTTTAGAAATTCTTGTCACAGGAATTATTTTTTTAGATTTTAATCGAAGTTTCAGTTCGGAATTTAATATGTGTAATACAAATGACAGATGACGTTTGAATTTTTATACGTTAACACTGTATTACCGATGATTGTCAAATATAGAATGTCCAATGTCTAACATTGGGATGGGAATTGTGGAATGAAAGGAATTGAAAAAATTAACGTTTTTATTTTCGGAATCGTATGTGTCTCGCCCCTTGCTGTTTTTATTCAATTCTTATGATTGAAAAAAATATAATAAATATTGTAAATAGAGTTGATTCTGCATAGTTACATTAAATGGAATGAGTGAAAAATATACATTTTTCTGCTTATAGCGTAAATCACATTTGGTTAGGAAAAAAAATGCGTGTAGGTATTAGCTAATGACTTTAGCCTGAAGACATTATCAGGAATCTTTTTGAGTGACGATTTAAAGTTGTCGCGTGAAGACGATTGTTGAAACAATGGTTTAATCAAGTTTGAGTATGAACACATTTGGTTGATAGGGGCGGTTTTCGTGATACTCAATCGCTGGTCGACAATTTTAAATAAATATGAAATTCGGGTATTCCTTGCGTTTGTATTCTGGGTGACGAAGTTTTTTAGGCGCGGGCAATGAATAATATCATTGATGAGATCGTAGAAGAACATCATTGAAGCGTTGATGCGTCGTCTTTGTAGCGATTGAAATGTTTTAGAATTTTATTCCCGCTGCAGCACTTTGTCAAAATATCAGCTGGCATATCATCAGTTTTCAAATATGAAAAAGCCATTAAATTGTTTCATGTATAAATTTGTGTTTTATGTCTATGTGTTTACTTCGTGGTGAATAGCTATTGTTCTTCGCTAATTCCATTGCACCTTTGTTATCGCACTGTATTAATATGCTATTTGGCCCGGAATCAATAAGTTCGTTATATAATTGTTTTAGCCATAGTGCATCTTGACAAGCACTTACCATTCCCATGAATTCAGCTTCTGTACTTGATAGTGCGACCGTTGGTTGTCTTTTTGTAGCCCAACTTATTGCTCCGTCAGAATTTCTTTTAACTGCAAAAACCCATTTGTTTCGTATCGGTTTTTTGTCTCTTGGCAATTCATTCATTGTCCAGGTCTTATTATCTATTTGGGATTGGAACTCCCCCTTCATTGCTTCTTTCCAATTCGATGATTGCGCACTCTCCATAGCTTCATCGTATGTTTTTGGTATGCTTATTTCTGCTCCAACATCCACTGTTTCACTAGAGTGGTTTTTTTTCGACTTTTTTCGAATTTTACGTCACCAAATAGCTTAATCGTTGCAGAATCATACAAAAAGAAAATTCCAACAAAAAACTACCCTAAAACCTGGGATTGGGACCTGGCGCCCGAGCTATAATTATTCAGATAGCCAAAAATCGCCATTTTTGGCATTTTAAGGTCTTTTTCCTTAACTTTACCGCATGTTTTAGTATATTTTCCACCTTGTGGTCAAAGAACATAACATATTTAATATAAAAAAAC